CCCCAGGAACGAGGTATGCTAACTTTCGCGCTATCTGGTTTATCTTGCCTTTGAAGGATTCTAACTTGAGCTTCGGAGCCCATACGCCGGGTTCTCCCCGGAGCTTCTCTTCTCCTTCCGTTTCAGGTCCCTGTTACTCAGTTCAGAGGCAAGATCATCTACAGCTAAGACCGGCCAGATTGTGCATCATCAATAATTATACTATTTATTGATAGAATATGTATTTTATACACACACAACACATGTAGTATTGACACAAAGCGGTTTGACTCGTTTGACCTTGATAGTCGAACCGGTGACCTATGGCCTAAAGGCAAAAACAGGTCGGCCTCTGAGTTGGTTTTTAAAACATTGTTTATCATACATACTATTGTTAAATATGTCAAATATATGATGTTAAAAAGGTTCCCAATTTTTTTATTTCTTTATTTTTTGCATTTTATGTATTTTTGAATTTTATTATTTAATTGTGGCAACATGGATCGAAATTATTAATTTATTATGTATGGATTTAATTATAGAATTTAATGATGAGAAGAAACAAAAAAGCCTTAAATATATAATTCAATTAAGGTGCAAATTAATACCTTAAATGTTGGATTTAATGCAAGAGAATTAAATGCATCGAATATCTTAAAATTACCCATTTTCAACTCATTTAATATCAATAACCAATTACCCTATTTGCCCTCATTTTTATCAATAAATTTAAATATAGATGGATAAATTTTGCCCTCAAAAAATTCCAGAAATATTCTTGAGGTTATTCGTACTTTTTAAAGTATTATATATATATATAAGTTAATATACTTTATTTCTTCCCTAAAAAAACCAGTTGATACTCGATACTTAGGTGACGTTTGATAACACTTTTCAGACGCCACCTTTGGTTGCTATGACCTTTTATTACTAGATATGAAATCCAAATTCAGATCTTAATTAATAAGAGGTGGACAGTGTCCTTAATGCGACCAGACGTATTTCAGAGGTGTGTGAAAGACAAAAATGTTCCGAAAGAAATTTAAATACGACATATTTTGTCCTTCATATTAGCTCGAAAATTAGATCATTCGAACCCTCACTGTGGCCTGAACGAAACTCCACCATCGTTAAGCTCTCTCACAGGTATGGTTTCGATTTGCAGATCTCTCTCTCTCTCTCTCTCTCCCTGTCTTCTCGCCACTTCCGCTGCAAGGCGGTGGTTCTTTATGTCTTTCTCCCTCTTTCCCTTGTCTTCCCACCACTGCCGCTACTTGCCTCTCTCTCTCTCTCTCTCCCCTATCTTCCTACCATTGCCAATTATTATTATTATTATTATTATTATTATATTTTTATACTCATTAATTATTTTTTTAATTTTAATCATTTCACTTATTAATTATTAATTTATATTATTTCAATATTAGTTTGAGGTTGAAAATTATTTTTTATGAGATAATGCAAATTGAACTCAACATTCCAAATAATATGTTCTAGGGGTAAAATAGTAAAATCAATGAATTTCATATGGTAAAGGGTTGATCCAACACAGACAAACTTATTTCAAACACAAAAAATATATTTTTAACTTTTTAGATATGAAATTTCATATTTATCAAATGCCACTTAAGAGTTTGTGAGCTAGCGGCTAGGGCATTGTTTCTACTTTCTAATAAAGCAATAGAGCCTTCTCTCTCCAAACTCACTACCGTCGAGTGTCGGGCATCAATCCATTGTAGTGCCGCATGATTAGTTTCCATCTTCGGTCTCCAGTCTCTAACAGTCCAGCTGCAATCCAGTCTCAGGTCTCCAACAGTCCAACCGCAATCCAATGGTCCAACATCTCCTTCTCTAGTTTAGGTGACTGTGACTGTGACTGGTCTTCATCTACGGTCTCCAACAGTTCAACCGCAAACCAACATCTCTTTCTCTAGTTCTGGTGAGCCGCAACTCCCCCTTCTCTGCATTCTGGGCTCCAGCAAGCTAGTCGCTCCACCACAAGTCCACAACTCTGTTCAATGGTTACTACCACTTGTTCTCTCTTCT